TAGATCTGAAAACAATATGATAGAAAATAGAACTGGGGGCCGTAGATTTCGCTAGTGGCTTCTCTCGAGAAAAGAGCATATGGTCGGCAAACAAATTACTATTGGGCAATTGATATAAAATCAAATAATTATGATGATATCCAAGGCAATGATCATGTATACAGGCATCATGTCCAAGATTAGTAGACCGACTCATGCCTGCATCTACTACTATTACTCCACACATCGACCACTATCCAACATGCATCTAGTGTATTATGTTCATGGGGAAACAGAGTAATGCAATAAGAACGATGACACAATGTCGACAAGATCTATTCATGTAGGAATAGACCACATCTTTTTATCCTTAATAGCAATGATACATGCGTGCCTCACTAGTCCTTCTGTCACTTGGTGAGAACACCGCAAGACTGAACCCATCAGAAAGCACCTCTTCCCATTGCAAGAAAAATCAATCTAGTTGGCCAAACCCAACCAAAGTTTCGCAGAAGAAATACGAGGCTATAGTAATCATGCATATAAGAGATGAAAGAAGACTTAAAATAATATTCATGGATAGAACTGATCATAAACTCAAAATTCATCCGATCCCAACAAACACATCGCAAAAAGTCATTACATCAAATAGATCTCCAAGAATATCGAGGAGAACATTGTATTGACAATCAAAAAGAGAGAAGAAGCCATCTAGCTATTGCCTACGGACCCGTAGGTCTGTGGTGAACTACTCATGCATCATCGGAGGAGCCCCAATGAGGACGATGAACCCCTCCATGATCGTGTTCCCCTCCGGCCAGGTGCCGAAATAGGGATCTAGATTGGATCTCGTTGTTCTGGAACTTGCGGCGGCTGGAATTGTGGAAACGTTTTCCTTGCAGCGACTATGTGGGATATATGTATGAACGGAAATGTTTCGCGGGGACTGACTGTGTGGGATGAACTTACGACCGGAAATGATTTCGCCTGTATAATTGTATTTTTTTAGCACTACTGTACGTATAACCGTATTTGCTCGCTCGCCGGTCGCACACGACCTCATTTTGCCGAGCGTGTGTTCCAGGAGGGCATATCCCCGACGGTTTCTGGGTCGTGTGCGAAGGACCCCCTAATCGCCCACACTCACTAGGCGAGGGTTCCGAATGCCATCGCGGAAAGGGGTTTAAAACCATTTGTATAGCACCGATGCATACCGGTGCGTGTGCATATTTGCATGTGAGAGAAATAGTGTTTTCCAACTGAGATTAGTGAAAAGAGTGCTACAAGGTAGCAAGAGAGAGAGAGGGGGAGATATATGGAGAGGGTGTGTGTAGACACCCCGTGAGAGAGTGTGAGATGTGTGAGAGAGAAACGACGATGTATATAAAGTGTGTGCACTTATGCGTGGGCCGAGAAGTACGTGCCCTCTCGGAAGATGTCTCCCTCGGCGAGAGAGAGCAGCGGGCCCACAGTGGGCAACAACCTAGCAAGCACTATGGGCTTGGGGATGCAGGCTCTCCATCGAAGGCAGCAGAGGAAGCGTGCGGGAGCACATTGCGCCCACCTCCATTTGGGGCCAGAACTTGAACAGGAGGGAACGACAGCTTCCCCGTGTAAGGAGCTCCGAGCGCAGGTCGATGGAGAGGAAGTAGCCATTGTCCACAGTCACCGACCGCACCTGGATCATCCGTGAGGCGGCACGACAGTGGCACAACTCTAGCTTGAAGGAGAAGGCCATGGCGTTCGGATCGAAGGAAAGAAGAACGCACGGCTGACGGACGCCCACGCCAAGCAGAACGGAGCGGAGGCAGCCCCGAGGTTCATCTTACATGGTCAATATGCTCGGTAGTGGGGAGGTAGAAGGTTGCCTCCTTGATGAGCTTGGGCTTGACGGAGATCTCCAGCAGCGCCATGAAATCACCCGTAGAGGCGATGTGGGGCTGCAGGAAGGCACGGTAGGCACGCGTGGCCATGCCCTCCCCCTCCACCAGATGATCAGGCGCTGCCTGGGCCCCACGCGGGTGAGCGTGTCCATGGTGCGACAACGTCCTTGGAAGCGAGGAGCCGACAACATAGTTGTCGTCGTCCCTGCGGGGCAGAGGGGGCACTGAGCGAGCGGGCAGCATCCCAGATTTTCGGTGATGAGGACGTCGGCGTAAGCCCCGACACCATCGACCCGGTGGAAGGCGAGGTGATGGGGGATGTGCGGCAGGGCCTCGACCTTGACCAGAACGAAGATACTACTGAACTCGCGGCCATAGGGCAAGCGTGCTCCACCGGCAGGATGCTGGCGAAACCGGCGATGGAAGGCACCCCTCGCTTGTTCCATAGCTCCAAAGGCAGCGTCTCCAGCGACAGGTTGACAACATGCCTGAAGGAGAAGGAGTAGGCATTTGTCTCCCTTGTTGTGTGGCAAGATCCTGACTGTACGAGGCCCAACAAAGACCGGGCTTGCACGAAGGGCAGCAGACTGCTCCACCTCGCGCTGGAACACAACAAAGCCTGTGCCCACCACGGACCCAACGAAACACACGGCCATAATGTCGAGCCGCTGCTGGAATAAACACTTGAACCATGGTAGGTGGGGAGATGGAGACGAGGCAAACTAGGGTGTTTTGGTCAGGGATCATGGGATAGTGGACGTCAAGCGAGGTGGGGCGCCCGTGGACGACGGGCTCCATCGGAGCAGGAGGAGCGAGGTGTTGGTAGTAGGGTTGAGGGGAACCCGGGCGAGGGACGAAGAAGGGCTCGACTGAGGTGATGGGGCTAGAGGCGTTGGAGGTCGTTCATATATAGACGTAGATGTTGGACTAGCCATATTGCCATAAACGCGGATGTGGCATTGGAAGCTAAGATGGCTGACTCGACGACATAGCCAGTAGACAGCAGGATCCCGACAATCGCGTCATTTATGACTAAATGAGAGACATCAAAAACAGCGGCGATGCAGGTAATGAGGCATGCCATATCGCAAAATAAGATTAGGCGTGGGACGCGAGGGGCATAATTACACTGGCAAGGCCAGGTCACCTAAAAGCAGCGCATCCCTGTAGGTTGCACGGCGAGGTGAAGGCGGACTAGCGATTCGGGAGTCGTGACCGCATGCAGAGGGGTGGCTGGGCGGAGGGACGTAACTAGAGGGATGGTCAGGAGCTTGGCATTGAACAACCTGTGATTGGGCAGAAGGCTACGGTGCCGGCGAAGGAGAAGGATTTATGGCAGCTAAGCAAACAGGTACATGATTATGCACGCCGGGTCCAAGAGAGATGTCGGAGGACGGAGCATGCGAACGCGCGTCGGAGCCCCCGGAAACCTGGGCACGGGCGGCCTGCATGGGAGTAGCCAACGATTGCCTATCGGCCAGTACGTGACCTTACATGGGGTGGGGCCCGAGCAACGACGGCAACGTGGAGTTGGTTATCCAGGTCGGACAACGCGCAACCGGCCGAAATGGGGCAGGAGGCAGGATAGAGGTAGGAACCAAACAAGAAAGAGATATTTTGACATCAGTAGTGCTACACAAACGACACCCATGCACGACTGCTGCACGATTCTACACATCCAGCCATCAAAATATTGAATGAAGTCCAGCACGGCCATTTGATCATCAATCGTCCATGAATCGTCCATTTCGCATCGGCTGTGAAGTAGTTTCGTTTTGACATTGAGCAACCCGGATGTCCAACAATTGCGGAGCACTATCTCTTTGGCAATGCACTCATGTGCAACCTGGAAAAGAAAGCATCCCGGCTATCGTGCTCTGACAAAGTAGCCGTTGGCAAACCCTCGAACCAGCTGAAAAGGAGGGAAAAAAAGAAATCCGGCGAGAGAAACACACCATCCTTGAGGACAGCGGCAAGAATGTCGGCGGGGCGGCAGCGGCCAGCAACTGCTTCAAGGGTGGCGCAGCCATACTTCTCAAGCATAGCATCTTGGAAACGCAATTCTTCCATGAGACTGACACGAACAACTCAGACTACTAAGCAAACAAGGTAGAGGTGGTGCGAGCTACCATGAATGCATCAAGGAGAGGAGGAAAACATCATGCATCAAAGCAATGGGCTACTGCAAACCTGAAATCCGGAGAAAACTCAGGAGAGGTGTTACCGGTCTGAGATGGCGAAGCAACATCAGACGTAGCAGGGCGTGACCTAACTCCCGCGACACGGCAAGGCACACCGGCTGATGGTGGTCGTCGCAGCCGGGCTGCCGTACGACGGGTGGGTGGATGCCATACTCGAGCGGGATGAGGCGTTTGTCGTGGCCACCGGCGCCGGAGCGGCGGGCGGCGGGGTGTGCGCTTACCTCCTTGCTAGCTCTCTAGGGTAGGAACTCCAAATGGCGTGTTTTTGAAACATATATGGTGAAGCGCATGATATTATGGTCGATACCATCACTCAAATGCTCCCATGATACCAGTTTGGAAATTTCAATTTTAGATGTGTCAAAAAAAATTGAAAAAAAATCGTGAATGCTCATCACATATGTGTCTACAACCCCTAAAAAAATTAGATCAAAATCTACAATACACAAAGAGAAGCAAAAATAAAAAAAAGAAATCCAACATGAACAATGTCAATAAAGATAAAAGGATGAATAGCGTAAAAAATGACACTATTCACATATGTGATGAATATTCATAATTTTTGGCACACTTAAAATTAAAATTTTCAAACTGGTATCATGGGAAGAAAGGCCTTCTAGTGTGGTTGCGCCGTCCGGCTATTGGGTACGTACGTACTCACCACGTAAACGCAGCTTCGACTCCCAAACTAGTGGTAGAACGTTTGGGGAAAGGAGAGAAAGCAATAGATAAGTGAGAAAGGATTAAAATATCCGGCCCGAGTCCACGCATGCACGCTGCCCTGGCCCCAGCCAAACGCCAGTCTGTCATGTTCCCATTCCCCTGCCCTTCCTCCTCCTATATATAACTGGCCCTCCCAATCCTCCTCTTCCATCGCCGTCTCAAAGCTCAAGCTCACACAACAACATCACCACGATCACCACAAACCTAGTATAAAATGGGGCTCTGCATGTCTAGCGGTGGCGCGGCGGCAGCAGTGCGGGCAGAGGGGGAGCCTGCCTCCACGGCTATGGTACTGATGCCAACCGGGGAGCTGCGGGAGTACCCGCGCCCTGCCACAGCGGCGGAGGCGCTCGAGGACAACTCCGTGGCTGGGGACGCCGGCTGGTTCCTGTGCGACGCCGACGCGATGGGCTTCGAGGGCCCCGTGGCCGCAGTCGCCGGGGCCGAGGAGCTCCGCCCGGGGCAGATCTACTTCGTGCTCCCCGCCGAGGCCCGTAAGAACGGGCTACGGCGCGAGGACCTCGCCGCGCTCGCCGTCAGGGCGTCGGCGGCGCTCGTCAGTAAGGCCAGCGCCAACGCATCCGGCAGCGCAGGGCGGAGGAGGCGGGCCGGCTCTGTTTCGCCGCTCGTGTTCGCCCAGCCGCCGGAGGTGGACGGGACCCTCGCGTACAAGACCGTGCCGACGTTGGCGGCGAAGAGGCGGCCGGTGGCGCGCGCGAAGAGTGCCGGGAGGATGCAGCGCTTTGCTCCTGATCTGACCGCCATTCCCGAGTGCGAGTGAACCAACACAAAGGCGTCGCGATCGTAGCTAGAGGAAGAGAAAAAGAAGAATCCAAATCTCCCATGCAATGCAAGATCGCTCGAATATGGAGGGGCTCCGACGATTCCGGAAACAGAGCAAAGGAAGGTACCGCCAGGGCCAGCCGTGGGATTTTGTTTCCACTTGCGGGCGATGGCCGATGGGGAGGTTGATTAGAGTCTGTAATTTGTAGGAGCAAAATTTTGGTCGGTTTAGTCGAGTTTGTGGTCTCAAGTCTCAAGAGACAACGAAATGTGAATATAAATTCCCGAGGTCCTCATTTTGCCAAAACATGCACACTTTTTCTGTGTATGGTTTCTACACTACTCTAGGTCAGACATGTTGGAAACCTGCAATTAGACGGAATCACCGAGCTGTAGCACGCAACATTAACTGTGTGTGTCCGATCTTATAACAGAGTAATGTTGATGCGAGTGCGGCAGAGCCCTCTTGCCCGTGTACTCTCTTAGAGCATCTCCGACCACGCCCCCAACAAGACCCCCAAACAATTTTTCGATCGCCGACGTCAAAAAATCGGCCCAGTCGCATCTTCAGAGACCCATTTTTCACCGGCTCAGGCCGAAATTGGCACCGGCGGACCCAACCTGAACCCGGCGCGTTGGGGGCGTTCGGGGGCGCCGGGCGAACATTTTTTGGCGCGAAAGCGCCGTAGGCCAGCCGCGTCAGCGACTCGACTCTCTTCTCGCCGCTTCGTCGTCCTCATCGCCTCGTTTCCCGCGGCGAATCAATGCCAAAGCTGCGCGCGCTGCCGCGCCGGTCAGCCTCCATTGATGCCTCACGGGCGGTGCAGTGAAGGCCGGGCGACACGCGTCCCCTCGCCCGCCACGCCTCCCGCCACGCGTAACGCGCCGGACAAGCCTACTGCGCGGTGCCTCCGCCTATATAAGCCGAGAACCAGCATGCCGGAGACACGCACAGACACTCCACCGCCGACGCGCCCACTTCTTCCCCTTCCTCCTCTCGCCGTTTCCAGCTTAGAAGGATGGCCGAGCGCATCCCAGGCGGCGGCGCGGCGGCGAATGGCTTCGGGCGCCGCCATCTGCAGAGGACGAGGCTCGCCTCCTCTTCGAGGACGAGTACCCGGCCCCGCCGGACATGCGGGTGCCCGGGGCGTGGAGGATCAGCGCCGGCGGCGTGCCGGTGCCACCACCACCCACCGGGACGGCGCGGCGTGCGGAGATCGCACGTATCCGCGCGTCCTTGCCGCGGGCGGCGAGGGAAGGCCCGCGGTACACCCCCGACAGCCTGCTCTGGGAGCCCTATGATGTAGGGCAAAACCCTAGATGGATGATCTTTCACGTTTGGAGGGATCCCACGGGAGAAACACGAAGAACACACGGAAGCACAAAGGGGAAATCACGGGGAGGTTGAGAGAGAATCATGAAACCGACAGAGAATCAATCACACGAGTGCTAGATCACCGAACACAAAGAGGTACATATGATCCATAGTCAACAAAGGTAAGGATACAAAGGACAGTTCATCTCCTAACGGAGGTCTTGATGGTCTTCCCTTGAGAGGGGTCTTGAATCCGCTTGGGGGATCTTCTCCGAAGAGGTCCTGAACTCCGAGGAGAAGTATCCAAGTGGATGAGCAAAGGCTCTCTCACAAATATGAGCTAATCCAATGCTGCCCGTACCAGGAGGTGGGGGTGTCCTATTTATAGTCTTAGTGCAAATGGAAGTCAAAACGAAGGGGTACAAGGGCTCCAGCCCGCAGGTTTGGTCACTCAGGAGTCGGACGTCCGGAAGGCGTCGGACGTCCGGAGGCTCGTGACGGTCCGGTCGTCCGGGCGCGCTCGGACGTCCGTTGTTTCAGCTCGGGTGTAGGCGCGTCGGTCGTCCGTAGGGGGTCAGTCGTCCGGGGCTTCAGGAGGGTCCGGTTGTCCGGGCGCGCTCGGACGTCCGTAGTTTTGGTTCGGGTGCTTGGCGTCCGGTCGTCCGGTCCACTCCGGACGTCCGTAGATTCGGTTCGGGTGACGAAGTGTCGGATGTCCGGAGGGGTCCGGTCGTCCGTGTCCTGGTACTCGTCGGACGTCCGGACACTGTCGGTCGTCCGACGCCTGTAGCTTCGCGGCGGCTCTTCTTCTTGTTCATCATGATTGGGGTCCTCGCCGTCTTGGCTCTTGGGGGTAGCTATTCCGTGGCTCGTTTCCAGGCACCTGATAACACACAGAGTTTCTGAATGAGGTAGTAGCCATGTCTCGTGAGTAGGAATAGGAAGTTCGGAGAGGAGCGAGTTCACCTTATCTTCAATGGCCTTAGCTCGGGCTCGTGTCATGGGTCCAAGTGGTGTTGAGGGAGATGTAGGCACGTCCATGGGGATGAGCGAGGGATGCTCCGCATCATCTCCCCCCCCCCTTGGGAGAGATCCGACCTCGGATCGAAAGATGCATCACCATGGAAAGGTGCGAGGTCCTTGACGTTGAAGATGTCGCTCACGTTGTACTTGTCTCGTGGTAGGTCGATCTTGTAGGCGTTGTCGTTGTAGCGTGCTAGAACCTTGAAAGGTCAATCGGCGCGTGGTAGAAGCTTGGACTTGCGTTCGTTGGGGAAGCGGTCCTTGCGAAGATGTATCCACACGAGATCATCAATTTTGAATACCATGGGTTGCTTGTTGATGTTGAGCTTGGTCGTTAGTCGTTGTACTTGGCGCTCGATGGTGTGCCTTGTATCTTCATGCATCTTCTTGATGTAGCATGCACGAGCGCTTGCGTCGAGGTTGGTTCGCTCTTGTAGAGGAAGAGGTAGAATGTCCAATGGGGACAAAGGGTTGAAGCCGTAGACGACCTCGAAGGGGGACTTGCCGGTCGTGGAATGTCTTGCACGGTTGTAGGCGTACTCGGCGATGGGTAGACACTCTTCCCACTCCTTGATGTTCTTCTTGATCAACACGCGAAGTAGAGTCGAGAGTGTAAGGTTCGTCACCTCCGTTTGGCCGTCGGTTTGAGGATGGTATGCCGAAGACAACAATAGCTTGATGCCGAGCTTGGCGCATAATGTCTTCCAAAAGTAACTCAAGAACTTGACATCACGATTGGAGACAATCGTCTTTGGCAATCCATGAAGTCGCAAGATTTCCCTACAAAAGAGATTAGCAATATGTGAAGCATCGTCTATCTTGTTGCAAGGAATGAAATGTGCCATCTTAGAAAATCTGTCCACAACAACAAAGACGGAATCCTTGCCATTTTGAGTTCTAGGCAAACCAAGTACAAAATCCATGCTAATGTCTTTCCAAGGTTGATAAGGAATAGGAAGTGGCATGTAAAGACCATGGGATTGAGCTTTTGACTTAGCTTTGCGACATGTAGAGCAATGGTTGGTGAAGCGTGAGACATCACGAAACATCTTGGGCCAAAAGTAGTTCTTGGAGAGCGTGGCGAAAGTCTTGTCGCGTCCAAAGTGTCCCATGAGTCCGCCTCCATGAGCCTCTTGCAAAAGGAGCAAACGAAGAGAAGACTCGGGAATGCAAAGTTTGTTAGCTCTCATAAGATAATCATCCTTTAGGTAGTATCGTTCCCAAGACGTGTGTGTCAAACACTTAGTATAAGGATTAGCAAAAGAAGGATCATGCTCATACAAGTCTTTTATATGCTCAAAACCAATAACATTCAACTCAAGTTGAGTGACAAGCATGCATATGCGTGAAAGTGCATCCGCAACAACATTTTCTTTACCCTTAATGTACTTGAACACATAAGGAAAAGATTCAATGAATTCACTCCATTTGGCATGACGCTTGTTCAATTTAGTTTGACCTTTTAGGTACTTAAGCGTTTCATGATCGGTATGGATGACAAACTCATGAGGTCTAAGATAATGTTCCCAAACATGTAGCACACGCACTAAAGTATATAATTCTTTGTCATAGATGGGATAATTAAGTTGAGCATCGGAGAGTTTTTCACTAAAATAAGCAATGGCTCGTTTTTCTTGCATCAAAACTCCGCCAATTCCGGTACCACTTGCATCACAATGAACCTCAAAAGTTTTGTCAAAATTGGGCAAAGCAAGAATCGGAGCATGAGTAAGCAAAGACTTGAGCTCATCAAAAGCGGTGGATTGCAAAGATCCCCAAACAAAAGGAGCATTCTTCTTACTCAAGGTATGCAAAGGAGCGGCAATTGTGCTAAAGTTTTTCACAAATCGGCGATAAAATCCTGCAAGGCCAAGGAAACTACGTACTTGTTGCAAATTGGTTGGTTGGAGCCAAGTTTTAATTGCCTCAATTTTAGTTTCGTCAACATGAACACCTTTTGAAGAGACAACAAATCCCAAGAAAACCACTTTGTCAACACCAAACGTGCATTTTTTCAAATTTGCATAAAGGCTTTCCTTGCGAAGGGTTTGCAAAACAGATTTAACATGATTAATATGGTCTTTCATTGTTTTGCTAAACACAAGAATGTCATCAAAGTAAACCACAACAAATACTCAAATGTAAGGTCTAAGCACATGATGCATAAGACGCACGAAAGTACCGGGAGCTTCCGATAGACCCATAGGCATGACTAACCACTCATACAAGCCAAATTTAGTTTTGAAAGCAGTTTTCCATTCATCACCTTCTTGAATGCGAATTTGATAATAGCCACTTTTAAGATCTATTTTTGAGAAAAAGTTGGCTCCGCTAAGTTCATCAAGCATATCATCTAAGCGAGGAATGGGGTACCTATAGCGAATGGTAATAGCATTTATAGGTCTACAATCGGAACACAAGCGGAAACTTCCATCAGGCTTAGGCACAAGTATAACGGGAATGGCACAAGGGCTTAAGCTTTCACGTACATGACCGTTGTCAATGAGTTGTTGTACTTGCCGTTGGATTTCCCTTGTCTCTTCGGGGTTGACACGGTATGAAGCTTTGTTTGGAAGTGGCGCTCCGGGGATGAGGTCGATTCGATGCTCAATGCCTCGAAGTGGAGGTAGACCCGGAGGTAGCTCGTCGGGGAAAACAAC